TGCTAGTAGCACATACTCTTTTTCTAGGAATTTGAAATGATTTGTAGTCAAACACCAGCAGTATAAAGGTGCAGCCACAGGATGAAATGAGTACCAAGATAAGGTGCAGGGTGGCTTTTGGCCCCTGTTGCTGAGTAGGCAAGACGTTGTGTTGAAGATTTAGGTGTGCTATAAATGATGCTCTGTGGAGGTGGTAGACAAAGTGTTCTCTTGAATAATTATGTCTTAGCTCAGAGAGGCAAAGGTAGGAGGAGATGTAGTCTCTGGCTAGGTTTCTGTAGTTGCCTTTTGATTTTGCAGAAGAAGCCACCACGTGAGAATGATCACAAGCAGATTAGTAGCAGCTCCTCTGGAAGTCTCTCTCCAAATGCTACTGTTCAGAGTCCTAAACATGAGTGGAAAATCATTGCTTCAGAGAAAACTTCAAGTGAGTAACTGGGGCAGGGTTTCTCCAAAAGATGTGTCTGGTATTATATACCACCCACTCCCTAAAGATTTCCTTCAACATCTATAAGAAATGCAGAAGTGCTTTTTCTTACTGATGATGCAAGTCAAGTAACTGCCCCAGTAATATGTGGGACGTTTCTAACATAACTGGGGCCAAACTGGGAGCACTTACATCTTGAGTCCATATCGACAGGGCTGTCCCAAATCCCATGGCGTGTGTAATTTACCCAGAAGGTCCTAAGGAGATGGGCAGCGTCTGATAATTACCAGAGCTATCTGCTGTGTGTGCATGAGGAGGCTTTCCTAGCATGTCTTGAGATTGCTGCCTTACATCCTTGAAGCACTATATTAATAATCTAAAACCCACGTTCTTCAGTAACTAGGCTAACACTTGGAACCAGGAACGAGAACAAATAAAGTTTTCACACTTCCAAGGGGAGAAGCCTAATCAGGAGAGCCTAGGCGGCGATCACCTAAAATGTTATTATATTGGTGGTCTCTCCTTTTCTCCTGACTGCAGGTAACACCTACCTGTGTCTTGCTGTTCTGGATGGTGTGCTGTGCGTGATATTCCTGCACGGCCGTAACAGCCCTCAGAGCTCTCCCACGAGCACGCCGCGACTGCTGAAGAGTCTGAGTTTTGAGCTTCAACCAAACGATATCATAGAGAAGCCCATGTCTCCAATGCAGTACGCTCGGTCTGGGCTGGGCACAGCAGAACTTAACGGCAAGCTGATTGCTGCAGGTAAAGGAAACACTAACATTTCTGTAAAGAACTTGCTCAGCTGGGGTGGGGATGATGACGACAGTGGCTTCTTAACTCTGTATGCTATATTAGAGTTGGTGTTTGTCAACATGACAGCACGTGGTCTTTGGAAAGGTGATATCCTCTGACCTTTTGCTTTTAGGTGGCTATAACAGAGAGGAATGTTTGCGCACGGTGGAATGCTACGATCCGCAAAAGGACACTTGGACTTTCATTGCACCGATGAGGACACCAAGAGCTCGGTTCCAGATGGCAGTTTTAATGGTGTGTGGTGGGCGGAGATCAGATGGAAAGTGACAGTATGTCAACGTAGGTGGGACAAAGAGGGCAAACTTTACAACATGGTAACAGAACTTGGTTGTAGTTAACATGGTGACTAAAGTGCTAATGATTTGAATTGTTGTGTGCTTCTATGTGAGATAGGTATCTCTTTTTTTCCATTTAGGGGCAACTGTATGTTGTGGGTGGGTCAAATGGTCACTCGGATGACTTGAGCTGTGGTGAAATGTATGAGCCTGAAATAGATGACTGGACTCCTGTTCCAGAACTGAGAACCAATCGCTGCAATGCAGGTAACGCATCTGCAGTTGATTGACTCTTGGCTTTATTTAATTTTTTTTATTTATTAGCTTACTTATTATTCTTTCCTTTGTGAATAGGTGTATGTGCCCTGAATGGAAAGCTGTACATCGTTGGTGGTTCAGATCCTTATGGCCAAAAGGGACTTAAGAACTGTGATGTGTTTGATCCCATAACAAAATCTTGGACAAGCTGTGCTCCCCTTAATATCCGTAAGCTTGCTGTGTAGTTTGGGAGGGAGGGGGAAAAGGGCAGTTGCAAAACTGCAAGTTTAAAAAAAACTATTTAAATTTCAGCTGCTCTGGCATACTGTTAGCGTATGAGTTCTGTGCTGGGCTGTAACTCCTGGTGTTTGATTGTAGGGAGACATCAGTCTGCAGTGTGTGAGCTGGGTGGATATTTATACATCATTGGAGGAGCGGAATCGTGGAACTGCCTGAATAGCGTGGAGCGTTACAATCCCGAGAACAACACTTGGACCCTGATTGCACCCATGAACGTGGCTCGACGAGGAGCTGGCGTGGCTGTTCGTGACGGTAGGCTTCCGCAGGCTACAGCAATCTCTTAGGCTTGATGAATTTTTCATGTTAAGCTACGATGCAAATAGAATACAAAGCCGTGGTCCTTCTCAGGGAGGAAGCAATGCAGTAAGAATCTGGCTAGGCCTCCAACTTGAATTAGTAACTCTAACCAGAAAAACAAAAAACTTCTTGTTCTTGTTTCAGGGCATTTGCCCCCACATCCTTATTTTCAGAACATCACCATGCAGCTTCCAGAACTGCATGTCTGAACCTGGAGTTTGCGCTTACTCTGAAATAATTTCCAGTCAGCTCTAATGATCAAGAGACCAAAAGCAGGTCCCTGTTGGAACTTCAGACCTTGAATAACGTGAAGGCTTCTGACAGAACACCTGAAATGCCTTCATTTTGGCTTAGTTTGTCTCCCCAGAAAGGAGGCTGTGTTTGGGGACTCTGCTGGTCTTTGGCAGTGAAACATTCCCTCTATTTGCTTTTGATAGGAAAACTCTTTGTTGGTGGAGGCTTCGATGGCTCTCACGCGGTGAGCTGCATGGAGATGTACGACCCTGCGAAGAACGAGTGGAAGGTGATGGGAAGTATGACTACTCCGAGGAGCAACGCCGGCATTACGACGGTGGCAAACACTATTTATGCAGTTGGGGGATTCGATGGCAATGAATTCTTGAACACAGTTGAAGTCTACAATCCAGAGTCAAATGAATGGAGCCCCTACACAAAAATTTACAAGTTTTAAGTGGATTAAATTCCCTTTTCAAACTAACAGGCTTAGTGATGTAATTGTGTTTGAGTAGAGGTACACGTGTGAATAGGGTTGGGGAGGGCAGAGATGTTGCCAACAGCAACACAGAGCTTTTGCATATTGCATATTAATGTGCTGTACATATTTGTTTTGGAAAGAATATCAAGATGAAGGGGGTTTTGTGTATTCTAGAACTTTGTTTTAGGGTTTTTTGTGGTTTTTTTTTTTTTTTTAAGATTTTTTGAAGATAATGCAAGAGAAACTAGACCGGGCATATCATTTTAGGAGCTTCCCCCAGGGTTTGTTTTGTCACTTTGCACATTAAATGACTTTTCCTGTAGGATGTGTTCTTGGGGCAGGAAGTGTAAGGTTTATGGGGGATAGTTTTTTTTCATCAGGCCTTGTTTTCCTTCAGTAACTGGAACAATCTGTGACAAGAAGCCTTATTTAAATAGATACAATGGCTATTTTTTTTATTAAAAAAAGCCGACTTGCCTGCCAATACCTTATCTTTTATGATTGCCTTTTTATAACAGTTTTTATAAACTCAGCAGAGTATTTTATCTGTTGATGTGAAAATGGCAGATAAATGGCTATTAAAGCAAAGAGACAACCTTGGAGTTCATAGAGACGGCGTGGGAGAACTGAGTTACCACTGTAGGTGAGCTGCTGAGCTTTTGCCTCTGCTACAATACTGTAACTTAGTGTGCAATCTGTGCGGTAGAGCGGAATGGCGTTTTTGAACATAACACAGCTGTGACTTTCTAAGATGGGAACATTATTTTGGCTCCAGATATTTTGACAAAAAGGCAGAGGGGGCTTACTGTACAGCAGTTTTGTTACTATAGGCGAGCTAACATTTGTAAAATAAAAACTTATGTGTGGGGTTTTTTCTCATGGTTTTTAAACTCCTGCCAGTTGGCAATGAAAGTGTATTCATCTGATTAGTAACTGTCTTAAGTTTATTTTTCTAATATTACAAGCTGAAAGTGTGATAGAACACGAATAACTTGATTTTGTATGTGCTCTAGTACTATGTTTTAGTTCACTTCCTCTATTCCTCTGGATAAAACGTCGGTTAGGATGACTTGGTGTCTCATGTGTAGTGCTGCACATCTAATTCCTGGTGCCAAAACTAGCACTGACTGCTTGCTGCTGATGCAAAGACATTAAAGGTACCTTTGGGGAAATCCTTGCACCATACACTTGCTGTGACGTGTCTTTGTCTCCTTTTCTTTAACAAGCCTGTTTATGACATTACAACAATTATGACATTTCAAATACATGTAGGTTTAAGACAAAGCAGGGTCTTTAACTAACACACCCCCCTCCAGCTCAAGTCTGGGATGAGTAGAAACACGAGAGGGGGTGAAGTGCCACGTCCCCCACCTGCCTGTCATTGGAGAGTTCCTCTCCAGAGAGAGGTGTAAGAGGCTTGGAGCAGGCAGCCAGCACCTGGCTCCTCGAGAACAATGGCTGTTGTGTCAGGGACAGGTGCCTGCTTACAGGTTGCTCTCCGGATCAGTTTACTAGAAGCTCTGTGCAAATTGAAGTGTGGTGCTCCAGAGGTGAGATGAGAAGGGGGCCTGTGAACTTAAAGAAAAAAGGGCATAACACCATGGTGAAGAGAAACACCGAATACTGTTGCGAGGAACTTGATCTGCTCATTCAGATGTGTTCCTCAGCATCAATCAAGGAGCTTCTGGAAATTAAGCCACAGGAGTGATGGCACTAATTTCAGTTACCATCCCACTTTTAGTTTACTGCTGTCCTCTCTGCTGCAGGTTGTTTTCACATAACATGAGGGAGTCCTGCTGA